CCTTGGTTAAAAAAGTTAACCGACGGTTACATGGCGCTCATTCATGCCCGTTTCTATTAATGTGGATTAACTTTAATCTCGGTTCAACTTACTCTTCATCTTTTTCTTATTTTTAAAACTAGAAAAAGATGAAGAATTAGTTGAATCGAGATTAAAGTTAAACTGCATTGGTAGAAACAGGCATTAGGCCCAGTTTCACAACTTATTATTACCCATTATTACTTCAAATAAGTTAAACCTCGGTTAAAAGTTAACCATGAATTGTGAAAAAACAACATACGGAAAAAACCGGACAAAATTGTGGAAAATACTTTATTGTCTTATTTTATTTGTTTTAATTGAATACCTAAATTGTTGTTTTGATATTGACAATAGTTTAAAAATGTATTAAAAAATAATTTTAATAAAATAATATAAATTTTAATTACTTGTTTAGCTATAGTGATTAAGCAAATAAAAATTTATAGTTATATTTTTTAAAACATTTATTCATGTTCTAGGGACTCTACGAAAACAAAATATATATTTAATTCAAGTCAAGAAATTCATCAAAATAATTAAAAATTGAACAGGAAATTGAAGGAAAAAGGTAAGACTTCCGTGACACAAAGGATTAATTATATACATACACATATAATATTATACAGTATCAAAAATCTAGAAATGGTTGAGTCTCGAAAGTAAAGCATTTTTGCAGAGAGAAAGCTGAGAGAGAGAACATGACGGCTCAAAACCTGTAATCGCAAAATGCTGCTGCGCACTACCGCCCTCTGAAGAAATGGATGTTAACTACACAACAATATCGGATATCCACCTTTTTGCGGTGCTCCTAATGGAAATAAATCGCTGAAATCGTCGAAATCTCTATTAATTTGATAGATTTTAGTTATTTTAGCGATTTCAACTTATTTTAGTTTTATCTATTTCCATTAGGAGCATTGCAAAAAGGTGGATATTGTTGTGTAGTTAACATCCATTTCTTAAGAAGGCGATAGTGCACGACAGGATTTTGCGGTTACAGGTTTTGGGCTGTCATATCCTCTTTTAGGCTAATTCTGCAATGTGCTTTTTGTTTCCTGTTTCTTGCTGTTTGTCTCTTGCCTTTTTGATCAAGAAGGCAACAGACAAACAGCAAGAAACAGGAAATAAAAAACACATTGTAGAATTATGGTACGTTTCCACTGAGCGCGTCACGTCGTCCATCGCGTCACGACGCGACGCGAAAGAGAAAAAGAGTGAAGTTTATATATGTACACAACTCTCTCTTTCGCGTCGCGTCGCGATTTTTTTAAATGAAACACCATATTTTTTATGCCAGACTCTAATAACTGATGTCAAGAGCTTTTTAAAATACTGTAATAAAGTTATTTTTCATTACGTATTTTTCGAGTTATAAGGCTTGAAAGTTAGGCTAATTCTACAATGTGCTTTTTATTTCCTGTTTCTTGCTGTTTGTCTCTTGCCTCCTTGATCAAAAAGGCAAGACACAAACAGAGACAAACAGCAAGAAACAGGAAACAAAAAGCACATTGTAGAACAGCCATTACAGTATCGCCGGCATTAGCATTACGCAAGGTGTCCGATCGACAGCTAAAACCTCTTGAATGTTATTCGGGATCATATCCTGGATAATATTTGTCAATATCATATTTGTCAAAATCAAGATCATTAGAGGTTACACCTCTTAGTTTCATTTTTATGTAAAAATGAACTTTTAGTGCAAAAATGAAAATAATAGGAATAATCTTCAATGGGCTTGGCCTTGAACAAATGTTATCCAGAACATGATCCTGAACAATATTCAAGAGGTTTTATCCGTCGATTGGACAACACAACGTTGGATAATGCTAACGTCGATGGTACTGTAACTTCCAAACTTTATACTTGAAGAGTACTTAATTAACAATAATTTTATTATAATGTTTTAAAAATCTGTTCACATCAGCTATTAAATTCTGGCATCAAAAATAGAGCATTCCATAAAAAAAATCAATTTGACCTTGACCTGACTTTGGCGACGTTATTCAAGGTTAAACAGATGATGTCAGTGAATAAACCTTTTTAAATTTGACAACTTTTGTTGGAATACATTTTTCTCAAAAATGCTTTACTTTTGAGATATTCGATTGTTTCTAGACTTTTGATACACCCTGTATATAAAAAAAATATATATATACCTATATGTAATATCGATTCTTACAATAAAATCTCACAACATAGAAAATAATTTATATCTAAACTAGAGATATCTAGGAACAATCTCAGCACGAAAAATACTACGCTCTATTATAAAAGGACTAGAATCTCTTTGGATGAGATATTATTGATGAAAGATTACAATAATGTTTCTATGTATGTAAAAATTTGTACCATTAAATAGTTAAATGCAATTCTTTTATATGGTAAATATCACAAAAATATATAATTAAATGATGTAATGCAGTGACAGTACATTTGAATATCATGTGTCTAAATGGCGTTGCCCTTTCTTATGAGCTTTTAAGGAGCTCAAATAAGAAATATATCTGATAATTACAGTCTTTAACTCTTATCAATAATATAATATGTTATTACATATTCTTTTTATATTTTTGTACAATCTGTTAATGAATTATTATTACTGTTGTCATCATCGTGCTACTAATACTATCGAAAAAACATTAATCTCAACATTAATCAAGAAAATATTTGTCGCAAGTTTAATTGTTCAAACTCTTAATACACAAAAATGGTTAAAAAAATATTCTTGCAAGATTTTTAATCATAATGCTCTGTCACAGTATGCTAACACAATTATACATATTTTGTTGAATACCTTTAATGTACTTTGTGTAAGATGAAACTTTTCAATATTAAAAAATACGTGTAATGCGCTATGATAATAACTTATACGGTCAGCATTAATTTTTTAAAAAAGAGAGATATATATGGTAATATTAGATAAAAAAAATACTTGTAAATTACACGTCAGCTAAAATCCAAGAATATAATGGTCGCAACTGATGATTTAATACTCTGTATTCTAGATTGCTCAGTCCATCAGTATCATATCTTCGAGCGCCGCTTTCCAAATTTGCGAATCTCGTGGTACTGGGAAGTTCCTTCTTATGTGTCAGCATATAATACTGTGATACATCAGGTCCAAAGCGTGTGACCTGTGTGTGTAGAACAAAATCAATTATATAACTTACTTGAATTATTTGAAAAAATAAGCATTGACACTGATTTAAATCGATGAAACCTGAAAACCTCTGGATTGTAAACGGCTGTAGAAATCATCATCTTCTCCACCCCAACCGTAGAACACATTGGAAAATCCATTTACTCTTTCAAATTGCTTCCTCGTCAATGCTATCGCACCTCCAAACAGACCAGTATAAGGTAGATTGTATCGAAAAGTATTTACACTGGAGCTCATATGCCTAGGCATTTTGGTGCATGCGTAGATATTATCAGGATTCTGTGGTATTAAATCGATATCTTGGAAAATAAAACAGTGGAAATCATTGATCTTGGTGGCCTCGGCGTAACCAACGTTGAAGAGCTTAGCACGATTGAACTCGCGCATTGGACTCTGCTCGATTACAAATATCCGATAATCTAGATTCTGCGACTGCAGGAAGGGATGTATATAATTCATAAAAATAGCAAGCTGACTCTGCCGGTTGCGATAGGGCAGTATAATAGCCACGTTGAAGAGGGGATGGCAATTAAGTGGCTTCCACTGGCCGCCTGGTAAAATACCGAGCCGACGTGCCATCACCACTGGGTCCTCCCTGGGATGCTCCTCCGGGTAGAATAGCTGGGAGAATCGTCTACCGTTGACGGAAATCACACACGAGTTGTCCCTCGGTGGATATGATCTCTCCATTTCGCCATAGATATTTTCCGTCTTGATGAAGGTGTAGTGAGAAGCGAATCGTGCCGGATGAAGACAATAGCACAGCAAGAGTGTCATCGTCACGGTGTAGGACAGTCCACGCGCGTGATTCAAGAAAAGTATCTTCAAAATACTGATCAAGTTCTTCATACTTCTAACCTATATATATGATAGACCGCCGATAAACATACCAGTCGAAGGAAGTGAGTCTCAGACGAATCGTGATATTTGCGCTGTAATCTTTGATTATCGAACGGGCATTTTCAGGTGTGTGCCCGCCGACGCTGTAGAAGAGCAAAATTCACATCTTTTTCGCAGAATCACCTGAAGCAGGGGTGACTGAACAGTTGCAGACGACGTTCCTCTCCCTTTATTCCTTTATGTGGCCGATGTCTCAGACTTGACGGAGTAAAAAATGGCTAGTAATATAGATATATAAGACACCTCCAACTCTCCTAACCTTCCACAGGAGATTTGTATAAAAGTAGAAATCAAATGCATAAGTTAAACTCGGCAGAAACTTTCAAAAATTAAAGATGATGCAATACTTGACCGAAACAAGAACACTTTATGACATACATGCCCCGGCCGAGCCGTCAAATGGGACTCTGTTGTCTCTGTCAGTCTGTTGCAGACGACAGAGACGAGTGCATGGCCGAGAGGATGAGACTGGGGCTGCGTTCCATTTAACGCTCACAACGCTCGTGGAATCATTTCATCCTTGTCGTTTATCACATGTTAAGTAAGAACAAACGATGCTCGCAAGCGTTGCGAGCGTTAAGTGGAACGCAGCCTAAATGAGACACGCACTGTTACTTGCGTTCCATTTAACGCTCACAACGCTCGTGGAATCATTTCATCCTTGTCGTTTATCACATGTTTAAGTAAGAACAAACGATGCTCGCAAGCGTTGCGAGCGTAAGTGGAACGCAGCCTAAATGAGACGCGCACTGTTATGCAGTGGCGATTATTTACTTTAAGTAGATTTTAAAGATTTTAAGTTTTTTCCTTTTTTCGATAATATTTAATATCTGTTCGATAAAAAAAAGAATCACTTTTTTCTCCGAAGAAGAATTATATTCGTAGTCGTGGATTTCATTAATTTAGAAACACGTTTTTTGTTATTCAAAAAATGTTGGATATATGGTAAAAAGAACGCCGTTTTTTCTCCATTTTATTCCAATTTACTTAATATTCTGATAAGTTACGCAATTTTACCAATGTCATCGCGTTCAGCGTAAAAAAATCATTGGAATATGTATTTATGACATTTCAAAAAGAATTTGGATGTTGAACGTTGAAGTATGTAACACGCTGTATAAGTAAATGAATAAGTATAGGATGCTAAGAGGATTGCTAGTTAATATATTGCAATTAATTTTACATATAGTTAAACTTCTATAAAATTTATATTGCAAGTTTTCTTCTATAAAAGTCAAACACATAAAACCGCAATTAATACTTTTTTATTGTAATTATAGTAAAAACAAATTTGCAAAATAAAATATGACAATTTTTAATGAAAAAATTATATCGTTTTATTGTCATAGACATGCTTAAAACAACATATTACTTTAGTGTGCAAATAATCGAGCCAGTAAGTAACTTATAATAATATAAACCTTTTAATTAAGATATTTTAAGTCTTTCTTTCAGTATCTGAAATGAATGAGGATGCTGAGCAGGATACTGAGCAACAATAAAGATTTATATTGCAAGTTAGTTCTATAAAAATCGGACACAACACGATTAAACTTTTTAAATTATAATTATAAAAATAAATTTTCAAAATAAATATGGCAATTTTTGATAAGAAAATTATTATAGCTATACCTGTGTGTGTGTGGTCATATACATAAGCTTAGAATAATTTTGTTTTGGATATAGTTGTTTCAATTACTTTCATCATATGATCGTATTTAATTGTAAACAATTTTTCATATACGAATATATATAAATAAATATAAATATACATAGGTATGTATAAACGTATATATAAATAAATATAAATATACATAGGTATGTATAAATAAATATAAATATACATAGGTATGTATAAACGTTCATAAATATATATAATTAAATATATGAAATATGTCTGTACATATATATCTCATACATCTTTTTTCCTTTTGTAAAATTACTTTTTAGTATATTAAAAATGATAATAATAATGTGAGAGAAAACGTAAAAAATATTTAAAGGGACAATTTTTGCATATTTTGTTTTAGAAAAAGTCGTTTAGAGAAATGTAAAAGAATCGCTCATATATAATTATATATAAAAAATATACACAATTATATATAATCAATTATATACACAATTATATATAAGAAAATCTTTTTACATTTCTCTAAACTTGATTTTTTTTATAAGAAACAATGCAAAGATTATCCTTTTAATTATTTTTGATGTTTTTTCAGTATTGTTATTAATTTTATTATATTAAACAGTAATTTTTCAAAAAAAGGACATATTTCATATATAATTATACATATTTATAAATATTTGTACATGTTATGTATGTTTATACTCGTATGTATTTATTTATATTCGTACATGAAAAATTTTTACAGAGTAAATATACATATAGTTAAAAAAAATTAATAAGATGTAAAGAAAAACAAAATTCATCAGTCAACACTTTATTTAAAATATCTCTCTGTTAATTATTAACGTTGATAATATAGCAAGATTTATATACTGATAATTCCAAATGTCATTAGAACACAATGGATAAACAGGATAGATAAATAAATATCTATTTAGGATATCTATATATCCTTAAATAGTAGGGATGGGCTAAATGGTTATTTTTCATTAACGGTTATAACAGTTACTGTTACTTAAAAATAATCGGTTATTTAAACAGTTATATAAACGGTTATTTTTTATAATACCCTATATCCTAGTAAGTAGTCATATTTCTTATTATTTAAGTCATTTAAGAAATCTATTTTGAAATATTTCATTATTTAAAATATTTGTGCGAACAAATAAATATAAAATGTTAAATTTTACACAAAAATTAATGTCAATGACTTGATAATTATATACCTCTAATTAAGTAAGACCAATATTATATGCGTCCGTTTTTTATCGTGTGACAAATTTTCAAGCGTGTTAATTGGCTGCAAAACAGAGGATTTTTGTCCTATAGCCAATCAATAGACTTGAAAAATTTGTCGTACGACAAAAACGAATGCATGTAATATTGGTCTAATACAGTAATAGCGTCGACAGCGCTTCTACTGGCAAAAAAGCTAAAGAGTAAGATCTTAAACATTACTATTTACCTTTCATTTACTCATAAAATTTAAAATTTGAAAATAATTGTTTAAGTCCGATAAAGTTTTCAAATTTGATAACGGTTATTAAAGTTATTTCTCAATAACGGTTACTCAGTAACAGATAAAATAACGCCCATCGCTATTAAATAGGACGTATATAGGATATCTATAATAGATAGGTTTTGTTTGTATGATTATGTATACGATAATCATATATTATATACATTTGTCAATGAACCAGAATAGCACACGGTCCATCGTTCGATTTGGTGGCTATCTTGAATATATTCAGCTGATGAAAAACATCTAACGTGTCTCGCATGAATTTATCCATCATTGCTTGAGTATGTTTTGGTGTTGGGGCTAATCTCAACTTCTCTTCGCCCTTTGGAACTGTAGGATAATTTATAGCTTGCACATAATGTCCTTTATCTCTTAATAAATAGTCTGCTATTTGACTACACACCAATGGATCTCCTATCTAAAAAAGAATATCATTTTTATAGCAATAATTATTGTTTAATTATAAAAATCAATTAATTAAACTATTTAGTCGCAGCTTACTTTTATCGGAATAATGTGAGAGGGCGATGTTTCTAACGGAAGACCGGCGGCAGTAAGAATAGACTTCATATAGGCGACATTTTTCTGATGATTCGTTCTCAATGATCTGCCCTCGTCCGATGCCAAAATCTCGACGGATGTCAAAGCTCCGTACAGGACAGTAGGCGGTAGCGAAGTAGTAAAAATAAAGCCCGCTGCATAACTTCTTATCATGTCTATCAGCTTCGCGGAACCAACAATGTAGCCACCCACATTGCCAAAAGCCTTTCCCAAGGTGCCGGATATAATGTCCATTTTGTGAAGTACCCAATCCCTCTCGCCAATTCCAGCACCAGAGAAGCCATATAAGCCGACTGCGTGGACTTCGTCAACAAACGTTATCGCGCCGTATTTATGTGCGATGTCGCACAACTTTTGTAACGGACAGATATCGCCGGTCATAGAATGTACCGTTTCAAACGCCACAATCTTTGGCACGCTTTTGCCCACCTTAGACAGGAGCTCCTCCAGATGTTGCACGTCGTTATGCCGGAATATATGCTTCGGCACGCCGCTGTTTCTTATGCCCTGTATCATAGAGGCATGATTCCCGGCGTCGGAGAAAACGTGACAATTTGGTAGAATTCTCGCTAACGTGAATAAGGTAGAGTCGTTGGCAACGAAGCAGGAAGTGAAAAGCAAACCGGCCTCCTTCTGATGCAGCAGCGCCAGTCGTTTCTCCAATATCTCATGACCCATGGAGTTGCCCGAGATATTTCTCGTGCCTCCGGCACCAGCACCAAACTTGTCCAACGCTTCACGAACTGCGCTGATCACCGCGGGATGACGCGACATTCCTAGGTAATCGTTGGAGCACCATACCGTTATGGGTTTCTCGCCCCAAGAGTATTCCATAGCCACTGGAAAGTTTTCAGCCAAACGATTGACTTTCTTGAATACTCGGTATGAATGATCCTTCTTCTTTCGCATAAGTTGTTCATGGAAAAATTCCTCATAAGAGAACTGCGTCTCCTCTTTTCGCTCTGTTGTACCTAGATTGATAACATCTTCCTCCATTGCTAAACTGGCTTTCTTAATAGCGTCCCGTTCTCTGGATAAGAAGGGACACTGATTTTGTATAGATTCGGGAATCGGCTGAGACTCCTCCGACTTTGCCATTGTACTGAACAATCTTGACATTACTGGGCAATGTTGCCGGTAATTCATTATCAACGATGATCCATAATTGCGGATGTAGTTTGCAGACAAACGAGTCAAAAATGGACACGGCATTATTGTCAGAAGATCTGAAAGTATATCGATTTGGATAAGGGTAATTCGAAAGGTGACAAGTGTAATAAATTTTGACATATTTAAGAAATCGTCCTGAATAAAAAATGCTATATGAACGCAAGTCCTGTTCTATTCGCAGTAATTAC